TTACCACAAAACCCACAAAGAGCTTCAAGTCTTAATAACTCTAATATTCATATATTTGATCAGCCCAATGCACATATTTTAGATTCCCCTTTGCCACCCAATTCAACTGGTAACTCCTACCATAGCACTTTGAATGCTGACAAAATCTCATTAATCATCAAAAATTGGAATGTTACATTTGACGGGACTTCTAATGGACTAAACATTCAAGAATTTTTATACAGAATCAGAACCTTAACTAAAGATTATTTTAACAATGACTTCACCATAATTTGTCGCAATTTACACATTTTATTAACTGGAAAGGCTAGAGAATGGTACTGGCGATATCACAAACGTGTTGATACTATAGAATGGAACGAATTTTGTGAAGCCATAAGATGCCAGTATAGGGAATTTAAATCTTCATTCGATATAAGAGAAGAAATTCGCAACAGGAAACAAAAACCTGGCGAAAGTTTTGATTCATTCTACGAATCAGTTTCTACAATAATAGACAAACTTCCGACTCCTATGTCAGAATTAGAGCTGATTGAAATTTTGGCTAGAAATTTGCGACCAGACATTAGACAAGACCTTTTATATGTTCCAGTCCATTCGATACCACATTTGAGAAAACTGGTCCAAATGAGGGAAAATTTTTTGTCAGAAGAGCATGTTCGAAAGAATTTTGCCTCTAGAATGCCAAATGCAACATATCCTCGACGCTTAGCTGAACTTTCATCAGATGAGATTTCGGAAACAACCCAATCTACTGATGAAATAAATTCCGAAATATCTATAAACGCAATTCAAAATGTGGAATTCAATGGTAAATGCTGGAATTGCGATGGAATTGGCCACCATTGGCATGATTGTTTGCATGATAGGACTATTTTTTGCTACGGTTGTGGTGAAAAAGGAGTCTATAAGCCCAACTGCTTAAAATGTGCCAATAGAAAACAATCGTTTTCAAAAAACTTAAAAACTCCTTTTCCCAAAGACAGCAAATAATAAACGCACATTTTCCCTATCAAACCCTGAATATATCTGATGAAAAGCCCGGCAAAACTATATTGGACAAAGACTTGTATTACGAATATGATAATATTGAAATTCGGCGTAAAGGCCATGACGAACAAACTGAAAGGTGGGGTAAAATCTATAATGACCAAACTAAACCTGATATTGAACCTGGCAAAACTGAACTGGATAATGATTTGGACAAAGAATTTGATAAAATTGAACTTCGACAAAACAACAATGATAAACAAAACATTTATGAAGACGACACTAGCAAAACTATACTTGAGAAAGATATTAATTATGAATTTGGAAAGGTTGAAATTCGGCGAAAAGTCCATGATACAAATAAAATCTATGTAGAACCTAAATCTGTAGCTCCTCATCCCCGTTTACCTTACCATAAAAGATGGCAAATTTATCAGGAAAAGAGAAATCAAATTTTCAATGTTTCTTCTCTTTCTGTGCCTCTATCAAAGAAAACCAAACGATCTACATTACGTTTACGGAAATTTTATAAGCTTAAAAAAGTTTGTAGGAAATTTTTGATTTCAACTATAGTTACCGATAAAAGTGACATGAGATACTATGCTAAAGTTTCATTTTTAAATTTGCAAGAATATGGTTTATTAGATACAGGCGCTAATATAAGCTGCATTGGAGCAGATTTGGCAAAACACGATTATTCCAAATTTCCAAATTTTAATAAATGCAAATCTTATGTTAAAACAGCAGATGGCAAATCGCAAATAGTTATAGGTTGGTTGGATGCAGATATTCTGTTTAAAAACATTACAAAAACATTGAAACTATTCATAATTCCGTCAATCTCTCAACGCTTAATTTTAGGATTAGACTTTTGGCGTCGGTTTAACCTCTGCCCAGATTTCATCGGGTCTACTAATGTCATTGCTTTAAATAACTCTACAATCAGTCCTTCAGAGTTAAATAGTATGACTGATGTGTTGACAGATTTTGCCAAATCTAGTTCCTCGATAGACGAAAATTTCTATCCGTTAAGTAATGAACAGAGAACTCAATTAGACTCAATAATCAAATTATTTCCAAATTTTGATAAGCAAGGCTTAGGAAGGACTAAACTAATCCAACATAAGATTGAGGTAGGAAACGCTACTCCAGTAAAACAGAGATTCTATCCTGTTTCTCCGGCAGTAGAAAAACTTATGTTTGGAGAAATAGATAGAATGCTAGGTCTTGGGGTCATTGAACCTTCTTCATCTCCGTGGAGTTCGCCTATGAGGCTAGTAGTCAAGCCTAATAAGGTTCGGTTATGTTTAGACGCAAGAAAACTAAATCTGGTTACGAAAAAGGACGCATATCCGCTTCCAAATATAGGAGGAATCTTTGCTAGATTGCCCAAGGCAAATATTATAACAAAACTTGACCTTAAAGACGCGTACTGGCAAATTGGCCTTGACGAAAATTCTAAACATTTAACTGCTTTTACCGTTCCTGGACGCCCTCTGTACCAGTTTGTGGTCATGCCCTTCGGGCTATGTAACGCGCCACAAACTATGTGTAGATTAATAGACGAGCTCATTCCCCCAGACTTAAAAAATTGCGTTTTTGGCTATCTTGATGATATAATCATTGTTTCTGAGGATTTTGAATCCCATATTGAGGTCCTGGTGAGATTAGCATCTCAATTTCGAAGAGCAAATTTAACACTTAATGTAGCGAAAAGCAAATTCTGCGTAACTAAGGTGAATTATTTAGGTTTTGTTATAGGAGATGGTGGAGTCACAACTGATCCTGAAAAAATCAGTGCGATTGTCAACTGGCCTGTTCCTAAAAACCTAAAGCAAGTGAGAGGATTCCTTGGATTGGCGGGATGGTATCGCAGGTTTATAAAAAACTTTTCCTCAGAAGTCAGCCCGATTACCGATGTCTTGAGCACAAAGAAGAGATTTACATGGACACCTGAAGCTCAAGTTGCCTTTGAAAAAGTCAAAAATCTGCTCACAACCGCACCTGTCCTTACAAATCCTGACTTCTCCCAAAAGTTTTTCCTGCACTGTGATGCGAGTGATTATGGCATTGGCGCAGTTCTGGTGCAATTGGATGCCCAAGGTGAAGAAAAGCCCATTGCATACATGAGTAAGAAGCTTAATGCAGCGCAGCGTAATTACTCCGTTACAGAGCGGGAATGCTTGGCGGCAATGGAAGCCATAAAAAAGTTCAGATGCTATTTGGAGATGCAGGAATTTGAGGTTGTGACAGATCACTCTAGCCTGTTATGGTTAATGAAACAATCAGATTTAAGCGGTCGACTGGCCAGATGGGTTTTTAAACTACAACCGTATAAATTCACCATAAGTCATAGGAAAGGAAAAGAGCATATTGTACCCGATGTATTGTCAAGATTACCAAACGAGGAAATAAACGCTTTAGAAATTGTCGAGCCCCAAATTGATTTAAATTCACCCTACTTTGAAGATCAAGATTATACGGATTTAAAAGCAAAAGTATCTGAAAACCAAAATAAATACCCTGATGTAAAGATCGATGATAAGTATGTATATATTCGCACCGAACATTACACTGGCATAGAAGATCAAGAGAACTTGTCATGGAAGTTATGGATACCTTTTCGACTTCGTGAAGAAACAATTAAGAAAGCTCATGATTTGCCCACGACTTCACATGGTGGTATAGTAAAAACACTTGATTTATTACGAAGACATTTTTACTGGCCTGGATTAATAAGAGATGTAAGAAACTATGTTAGAAATTGCGATGTATGCAAGTCGACAAAAGCTCCAAACTTTATCATGAAACCGCCTATGGGTAAACATGTAATCTCTGAAAGACCTTTCCAGCGGTTATACGTCGATCTATTGGGACCTTATCCAAGGAGTAAAACTGGTTATATCGGATTGTTGATCGTGCTTGACCACTTAACCAAATTTCACTGGCTATGTCCTCTGAGGAAATTCACATCGATCAACATACAAAATTATTTAGAGCAAAACATTTTCCATACGTACGGTGTTCCAGAGGTCATAGTCAGTGATAATGGTAGTCAATTTAAGGCAAATGAATTGAATGCTTTTTTTACTAAATATGGCATTAAACATATATACACTGCATACTATTCCCCCCAATCTAATGCGTCGGAAAGAGTTAATCGCTCACTAATTGCGGGAATAAGAGCCTACCTTAAAAATGACCATCGACTTTGGGATGAGCAGCTGACTGCTATAAGTTGTGCTCTACGCAACTCCTACCATCAAGCCATAAATAGTTCACCCTATCATGCACTTTTTGGTTTCGACATGATAACACACGCTTCTTCCTACGAATTGCTTCGAAAGCTACAACTACTTGACGAACCAACTGCTCAAATCTCAAGAGATGATAATTTACAGCTCATTAGAAAGAACTTAAGGAAATATATAAAAGAAGCCTATGACAAGAACACAAAACAATACAATTTAAGAACTAGACCTCAAACATTTTCCATAAATCAAGAAGTTTTTCGGCGAAATTTTTCACAGAGCAATATGGAAAAGAATTTTAATGCCAAATTGTCGCCTTTATTCGTTAAAGCAAGAATTCGTGAAAAACTAGGAAATCACTATTACGTCCTAGAAGATCTACAGGGTAAACTAGTAGGAACATATCATGGTAAAGACATTCGGCCATAAACCCTATTTTCTATTTATTTTTGTTAAGTATAACTTCAAAAATATCTAGTTTTGTAATGGACGTTTATGTCCTTTATTTAAAACCAAATATTTTGCTATGAAAAAAATAGGAAACAAGACTTACATTCATATAAGAACGTCACTTTTTTTTTCCAATAATCCATATTGTATTTGGTTGTTGACCTTTTGGTATTTGTTGAACATTTTTCTGCTCACAGTGCAGAGCACTAATGGAAAACTTATTTATTATTGATTTGTGCACAATTATTATTATATTATTATTTTGTATAAATTTTAAAATTCATATAATTTTTGTTAATTTTCAAAAGACACTTTGTTTATTTATGATCTTTACGATCATATGGTTTTTAACATACTGTTTTGTTTTGATTTTCTTGTTTTGATTTATGCATGAGAATTATTAATGAATGAGTATAAGAGTTTTTGTCTGAGCTAAATGTGGTCAGGGTTCGGAAAACTATTTGTGGAAAATAAATCTTAAAATACTCAAACAGTGGGTAAATAACTTGTTTTGGAGGAAATTTTTTTGAGATTATAAAATTTTAAACATTAAAAAGTTATATCCAAATGCAACATGAACTTTTATCATCATGTTGTTTTAGAATATTTCATGCACTTCCTTATCATCAGTCTGCATGATGACTGAACCATTCAACAGCAATATTTAATTGAGTCTTGACTAAATATAGTCTAATTATAGTGGCAACATAATATACTGATTTTATGGCAACCTAATATAATTAATTGACAATTAATTGACATTTAATGTCAAATTTTTTCTAAATTTTATAAACATTAAGTTTCTTGGTCAGAAGAAAATTTATAGAAGATCCTTTTCCTGTATATCTTTGAACTGAAGACATCAAATTTTCAGATAGTCGGAAAAAAATCTTAAAATTTTCCAAGTCATCAAAGTATAATTTTATACTTTTTCTTAAAATTTTTCATCGAAAAACTAGAATTTATACTCCATCAGGTAAATTTTGCCAATTTTTAGATTTTTTATTTCATTTAATAAATTTCATATAATAGGAAAAGGTTTCTGCCACGATTTTCTCCAATTTTACTTGGCACCTTAAATTTATTGGACTCAACCCACTTAATCCAACTCAATCAGTGAATTGGATTAATCTTGCTTTGGAATCCCTTTATAGTAAATGAAATTTACAAAGGTAATTAAAATTCCAATTCTTTCATGCAGATAAATTATATCTAAAAACTCATTTTTTAATCTCCACCAGTTACCAGTAACAATCACTCATTTTTGCATTCCGAACACAATTCCCATACCTGGCGAGGGAATCCTCTTCCAGGGGATTTCTTAAATGAGTCACCAGAACGATCTCTAGCCGGAGATTGCGCAATGCTAGTGTTCTCTTTTCATTTAACTCCAACATAAACTCATCAGGCAGCTCTAAAATCCTCTTGAAACAACAACAACAATATTAATAAAACCACCACCAAAAATCATCAAACTCCGCAAATTCTCAAAAACTCAAAATAAATAGTTCTCTTGCAAAAATAATAAATCCCTAACAGTTCAATCAAACCAAAAGTTAAAGAAAAGTGCAAAACAAAATCAAGAAGAATTAAACAAAACAGTGGTTCCGAAACATGTAAAAGAGCATAAAACCCAGTGATTCCCAAAATGTTATTGTCAAAGGAGATTTATTAATTAACTATTTTTTTAGAGTGTTAAAATAGATGAATGTATTTATATTAATTGAAAAGAAAATTCGTAAAGAAATAAGAAAATGCATAGAATTTGGAAAATTTAAGAAAATTTAAAAATTTAAGAAATTTCAAGAATAATAATGTTCCAAAAAGGTTAATCCGTGAAAAAAAATTTAAAACAATGAAAAGAAATAAAATTGTGTACCCTATTGCCTGATTTTAAACTTACCCTAATATCACAGAAAATATAAATTAACAGTTAAAATGTGTAAAAATTTAAAAGTTTAATATCAAAAATTTATAAAATTTCTCAAAACACATATTTTTTCCTTTAAATGCTAAAATCTACCCAAAACAAACTAAATGCCCTAAAAAAATGTAAAAATAATTAAACCAAAAAAAAAAAAAAATTAACCAAAAAAAAAAAACAATTAATCCATTTAAAAAGTCGAAACAAAACCCCAAAAGCAAGAAAATTTCCAAATTTTTTTTAAACATTTTATCCTAACATCAAAACAGCAACCCGTTCATGGAAAAGGCCTTTTGCAGAATGCTTGGTGAGTGAAAATTAATCCTTTTGTTTATTTTCTTGCTTTCTTATTAAAGCAAACAAACAACCAAACGCTGAGAACTTATTAAAGATCGTTCGAACATGCAACCAAACAAGTTGTAATCTAATTCCATTATTTACAACCGAAATTAAAAGAGCGTCAAACCTTTCTTGACCTAGATTTGAATGCAACCTAAAGTACATATCCACACAAACCTATGATAAATGAACAGCTGTTCGAACAAAAGTTCAATGAACTTTAATAAGATTTACTTTGTTTCTTTGTTTGCTTTCTTTAAAAAAAAAAAATGCACCATGGGTAGAAAAAGAATAAATAATAATACTTTTGAGAAAATTTAAATGAGGAAAATTAGATATTTTTTTTAAAATACAAAAAATTTGATAATATTTATTTAAAAATTAATTTATTTAACTCTAAAGAAAAAAGAAAAAAAATAATTTGTTTTTTTTATGTAATTATATTGTTAGATTTGTTACAAAAAAAATTATACCTTTGTTAAACATTGTTAATTGGTAAACTCCTAAAAAAATTGTTTTAATTTTTTTATAGTATAATGTTATTATTTCTATAATTAGATTCCTAATATTAATAAGAAGTTAATATGAAATTTGAATTTTAATAAACATTGTGTAACATTTAAAATTTAAAAATTTAATTATCTACAATGCAAAATTTGTTTCGGAATAAATATTTCACAATGAATGTGTAAAATTGTAAAGTTTTGGTCTTCTTAATTGTTTGTAATGTGAGAATATTTTAATTAAATTTAGTTTAGGGGTTCTAGAAAACAAATATATGCCACTAGAACTAAGGATGGAGAGGGTTTTGAGGCATGTGTATCCTACAACATCAGGATCGCATAAATAAATTTTTGGTAATATTAAAGAAAATCAACTAGACTTTAGAGTAAAGTTTTAATATGACTAGATAAAGGGGTTTTGTTTGTTTTTTCTTCTAGTTATTAATTCGTTTCATTCAATGATATATAAATGTTAGTATTTTGAGAGTCTATAATAATAGAGCATGTAATAAGCCTTGATTGTTAAGGAATTAGGACACGAACTCCCCCACCCGACTCCTAGCTAGCTAATCAATGGCTCTCATCGTCCTAGTTTCTTAACATTCATTCACCGGAAATCAGAGTATAAAACTGTCATTAGTAAACAGAGCTTTGTTTAGAACTCTTATTGTGTATTTTGATTTCCTGGCTTTAGTCAGAATAATTTTTGATATTAGTTTAGTTTTCTAGCCATATCAATTTTATGTTCTTTCTAAAGATATAAAAAAAAGATAATCTTGTAGATTCTATGAGATTTCAAATTGATTCATTACACAAGTAAACATTGGAGTATTCAAATGATTAATCGTCGATCTGTTTTCTAAAGGATTGGACACGAATCTGATCTTGGAAAGTGAAAAAGATGTTGTACAGATTGATACTTTATTTCAAAGTCGATAGATTGGACTTTAAAATTTTGTAATTTTGTAATGATTCTTGGCCATTTATTTATCGAAATACCGAAATGTTATCTCTTTTAGGGCTTTAAGTTAAAATAGCTTTCTGTACATAAAGTTTATTATTTCTTAGAGTTTATAATATTTATTTTCAAGTACTATATTCTCTAACTGCCTTATTCATAAGCATTTATGAATGGTTTATAGTACAAATTTTGTGTGAAAATTTGATTTATAAACCTTTGATAAAAATTTATGAACAAGACCCTAAATATTTACAAAACTTTGATTTTATTTTTCATTAATATTATTTTTTAAATATGTTTTGAAAATTTTAATATATAATTTTACAAATTTTTATTTATACTCATTTAAAGCGTTTCATTAAATTCTTTAATAGTCTCCATTGTTTAGTTAATAATCTTTTTTTTAGCATTTTCTATAACCTTCAATATCACACAAACTAGAACATTTATTCGTTCTACACTTATTTGTTAAAGTTTATGTTCCACTAACGGAAAATATATAAAAAACATAAAGCTAAAATATAAAAAAAAAATTTTAAAAAAATCTAGAAACCTTGTAACTTATAAATACAGCAAACATTGTGTTTTTTTTATTTTTTTTTCTTTTTTTAATATTTTTTTATAGTTTAAACGTCTTTTTTGTGCTCTGTATTTCATGCCATACAGACCGAAATTACACCATTTCTTCATTACACTTAATATTTCTTTTTTACGAAAACAATCCTCAAACAGACTTAAAATTATATTATTTTTGAAACAAAGGTATTGCGTTAAATGGAAATGATGTAATTGAAAGTGGTGGTTATATGTATGATTTAAAATTTGCTGGTTGGAAAAACTAAGCTAGAGAAGTGAGCGAGAGTGTGTTTAAATGTGAGTGTGAGTATTGTACCGATTCTGGCTTTTGGCAATGAAATTAAATAAACTTGAATACTTGTTGCATGGTTTGGTTAAAAACTATTTTTAGCGGTATTGTAAGAAAATAACAAAAATTCATTTTACACAAAAAAAATAAAACTCAACTCTTGCTTTTTCATTAATTCGTAACATATACAATGTTAATGTATTTTAATTGAAACAAAGATTTTCAACATTGCATAACATGAGGGTGCTTGTCAGAAAGTTAGTTGTATGTTTCATACTTTTTAAACAAACTAAAAGTGCAAAATGGTACATATATAAATAGTGGAGTTATTATGTTATAAATTATTACAATGAAAGAAAAGTTGTGTATGCAAGAACTTTAATTTAAACAAACTAATATATTTTGGTCGTGGAATCTTTGTTGTTTATGGAAACTCATGTACTTTGTTTGAATATGTAGCAAACGAAATTTCTTAAAATTATCAATATTTTACACACAATCGCTCTTCTGTATCCAATTACTAAAAGGCATAAAGTATTACACCTCAAGAAATTAAGACGCCATTACTGGCTTTATAGCAATGGCGACGATCGATATTATATCTCCATGCATCCAACAGCATCGCACATCAAATAAGGTGAAGTCATTTCAACAGCTAATTGATTTGTTTTTGTCGTGAACACGATTATTCAAGTGCTTCTCTAATTTGAGCGTATACTTAATATATGTAACATCAATAAATCATTACACGTATACGTACAGGTGTCGTTAATAAAATCAGTGCACTTTCACAATTTTTTAATTGAACAACACAAATTTGCAAAATATTTTCAATTTATATAAAAGTTATAAAGAAATATTAAATTACGACAATTGGTTTTCGTTTTTAATGAAGCTCATTTTCTCTAGGTTTTAAAGTTCGTGGAAAAAGACATAAATATAACTAAATTTAACAATCCTACCTGAATAAAAAATATAAAAGTGCAACAAAAATTAGTTTATTCTAATCATACGAATGGAAAAGGATAGCGAACGCTAAAATAACAAAATAAGACTAAAGTGTACTGTTACTATTATGGGACTATTGGCCATGGCTTCACGAACACAAAAACACACACACACATGTCGCCATGTTGTTGTGCTTTAGGCCAAAAACATAAACATTAAAACAACCTCTGGTAAGGTAGAAAACATATAAAAGTTTAAATAAACATATTATATTTCAAACAAATTTTTGTACATCTTTTCATACATATGTTTGCTTTAGTATAATTTAATACAAACATTAGGGAAGTTTCATTAGTTTAAATTTAGGTTTAATTTAGGACGACTCTTTCGTAATTCTTTAATTTTTATACCCTCCACCACCATCAGTGGTGATAGAGGGTATATATAACTTTGTCATTCCATGTGTAACACCAAGAAATATTCATCTGAGACTTAACAAAGTATATATATTCTGGGTCCTTATCAAATTATGAGTCGATTTAGCTATGTCCGTCTGTCCGTCTGTCTGTGTAAAACACGCTCACGATAAAACGAAGCAATAGAGTTTAACCAAATTCACTCAAAATGTTCTTCATTTTCCTAAGTTGTTTGGTATTGCAAATGGGCAAAATCGGTTCACACCGGGAAAAGTTATGAATCAAAATTTAAAACAACCTCGGAAAAAAATAAGCATTTTTTACACATTATGATATAATTTTCTCGAAAACTATGCAAGATAATTTCATGGAAATCACCATATATTCGTTTCTGCACAAGATCTTGATCCCTGCTGAAAATTGCCAGAATCGGTCCACAATTTCATATACCTCCCATACAAAAGTACAAATTCCCGGAAAATGGGTTTTTTGTTAATAACTTCCGCTACAATGTCGATATCTTCACAAAATTTTACAAATTAAAATCTTATGTCAATAGAATTCTTCTAGAGGAAAAATTTTATGGATGGATCCATAATTGGACATAGCTCCCATACAAGGTCCCCTACCGAAAATCACTTAAACGCGCATAACTCATTACTAAATTAAGATATCTATATAAAATTTGGTACAAGTATTACCCACATGCATAGAAATATTACCGTGAAATTTTTTTCCGATCGGTCCATAATTGGTCATAGCTCCCATACAAGGTCCCCTCC